AAAGTATGTGGATTGACTTTTTTTCATCTAGTACAAAGGAAATGGGTTGCAGGAGAAACACATACACTGGATTCTCAGTCTCTTTTGTAGTGCTGGTTTGAAGTTCCTGCATCTTTTACTGTATATACGAGATGGAGCTTGTACATCCCCAAATATATGGATGCAGTGGAGTTTGCAACTGAAAATAAATTTTGTGTTCCCAACAAGCTAGGTGAAGGACGGCTTTCACACACTCTTAACTCTCAGAACTGAGCATGTGGAGAGACGTTCGTTCATCTAGCACAAAGGGAACGGGTTTCAGGAGAAACACTTACTCTGTTTTTTCAGTTTGTTTCCTAGTGCCGTTTTGAAGTTCCTGCAGTTTTCACTGTAATACTGAGTTGGAGCTTGTACCTCCCCATATATATGTATGGATTGGAGTTTGCAACTGAAGAGAACTTTGTGCTCCCAACAAGCTAAGTGAAGGACGAATTTCACACAAACCTATCTCTCAGATATCAGTATGTTGAAAGACGTTTGTTCATGTAGCACAATGTAACGGGTTGCAGGAAAAACACTTACTCTGGTTTCTCAGACTGTTTCTTAGTGTCGGTCTGATTTTCGTGCCATTTTAACTGTTAAACCAATTTGGAGATTGTTCCTCCCCATATATATGTATGTAGTGGAGCTTCCAATTTATAAGAAACTTTGTGTTCCCAACAAGATTTATGAAGGAAAGGTTTCACACACATTTTCCTCTCAGAACTGAGAATGTGGTGAGACCTTCGTTCATTTAGCACAAAGGGATAGGTTTGCAGGGGTAACACTTTCACTTGTTTCGTATTGTGTTTCTTAGTGCTGGTTTTCAGATCCTGCATTTATCACTGTAAAGCCGAGTTGGAGTTTATACGTCCCTATGCATATGTATGTAGTCGAGTTTGCAACTTATAAGAAACTTTGTGTTCCCACCAAGCTAGATGAAGGAGGGTTTTCACACACAATTATCTCTCAGAACTGGGTATGTGGAAAGATGTTCATTCTTCTATCACTAAGGGAATGGGTTGCAAGAGAAACAATTACTCTGGATTCTCAGTCTGTTTCCGAGGGCTCGTATGAAGTTACTGCTGTTTTCACTTTAAAACCGCGTTGGAGATTGTACCTACCCATATATGTATACAGTTAAATTTGCAACTGTATAGAAACTTTGTGTTCTCAACAAGGTATGTGAAGTGCGGTTTTGACACACACTTTTCTCTGAGAAATGATCATGTGGAATGACTTTCGTTAATCTAGCACAAATGGAATGGGTTTTTGGAGAAACACTTACTCTGGATTCTCTATCTGTTTCCACTTACCGGTTTGATATTCCTGTAGTTTTCACAGTAAAACCGTTTTGGAGCTTGAGCCTCCCCATATATATGTATGTAGAGGAGTCTGCAAGTGAAAAGAAACTTTGTGTTCCCAACAAAGAAGGTGAAGGTCGGCTCTCAGACACAATTATCTCTCAGAACCTTGCATGTGGATAGACATTCGTTCATCTAGGAGAAAGGAATCGTGTTGCAGGGGAAACATTTACTCTGGATTCTCAATCTGTTTCCTAGTGCCAGTTGAAGTTCCTGCAGTTTTCACTGTTAAACCGGGTTGGAGCTTGTATCTCCCCATATATATGTATGTAGTGGATTTTACAACTGAAAAGAATCTCTGTGCTCCCAAAATGCAAAATGAAGGACGGCTTTCACACACACTTATCTCTCAGAACAGAGTAGTTGGAGAGAAGGTCGTTCATCTAGCACAAAGGGAACTTGTTGCTTGTGAAACCCTTTCTCTGTTTCTCAGTCTTTTTCCTAGTGCCTGTTTGATGTTTCTGTAGTTTTCACTGTAAAAGCGAGTTGGAGATTTTTCTTCCCGTGATATATGTATGTAGTGAATTTTGCAACTGAAAAGGATCTATGTATTCCCAACAAGGTAAATGAAGACGGTTTTCACTTGCACATGTCTCTCAGAACTGAGTGTGTGGAGAGTTGTTCTTTCATCTAGCACAAAGGGAAAATTTTGCAGGAGGAACACTTACTCAGTTTTCTCAGTCTGTTTCCTAGTGCCGGTTTGAAGTTCCTGCAGTTTTCACTGTAAAACCGAGTTGTAGTTTATACTTCCCATATATGATTATGTATTGGAGTTTGCAACTGAAAAAACACTTTATGTTCCCAACAATCTAGGTGCAGGACGGCTTTCACACACACTTATCTCTGAGCACTGAACATGTGGAGAGACTTTCATTCATCTATCACAAAGGGAACAGATTTTAGGAGATACATTTATGCTGGTTTCTCAGTCTGTTTCTTAGTTCTGTTTTGAAGTTCCTGCAGTTTTCACTATAAAACCAATTTGGAGATTTTACCTCCCCATATATATGTATGTTGTGGAGTTTGCAACTAAAAAGAATCTTTATGTTCCCTACAAGCTATGTGAAGTTTGGCTTTCACACACATTTTTCTCTCAGAACTAAGCCTGTGTTTAGACTAATTTCTGACTTTGAGTTTCTGTTCTCATGAAACTCTTGATCTCTCTTCTATCTTATCTTCCAAACCAGCATTCTTCTCCTGGCTAACCTAAGTGCAGAGTTAACCCCTCTCTGTCATATACCCCTAATCCACTTACAGAAGCAGGCCTTACTGTTTGGATCATGGAGGAGAAACTCAAACAAGTTGAATTTTGAAATAAAAAAACCTACCTCATTTTAAAATCTTCCATGCCAGTATAAAATATATTTATTTTTTTAACTTTTCTCTTTAATTTTTAAACTATTTTAAACTTTTTTACTTTTTTAAAACGTTACATTTTTTCTTATTTTCCTTCATTGTAGGCTCCAAAATCCTGTTATTCCACCCACCACATCCAAGTTCCCTTTCATTGTTTCTCCTCCCTTCCCTAACCTTCCTTCTCTCTCCCTTATTACCAATTTTCTGTCCATTCTCTTTATAGGGCATTTAAATTATTTTTTCTTTCTTTCTTTCTGTTTTTGCCAAGTGAACATCTTTGGGTTTCTGTGTGTCCTTCCACATTTCTTCACAAGGGCTTCATCTTTCAGCTTCAGTATGGATTACTTGGGTCTGTCTCTAAACAAAGGCATTTCCCTTGTCCCCCAGCTCACTATGCCCCTCAAAAAAATATATTCTGATTTTTGCTCTGAAATGAATCTTTTTTTTTCCTACTGTGTAGAAGACAACTCTTATCCTGTGCACATAGTAAGATTTTTCCAGTGGAGTAAAAGTAGCTCATGTGCAAATAATATTATTTTTCTCTGTGAAAATAAATAGATCAGATAGAGGAAATACTTAAATCAGATTTCTCAAAAGCATTTCCTGAAGGAAATAGGTTAATTATTTAACATTAAATTTTGTTGAATCTGGTTATCAGTGAGCTATTTTTACCAATCAAGGAGAAGGAAATATTTCCAAAATTGGTACTGAGCAATTTATGTGAACTTGCTCATATGAAGTAGTTTATAGTAAATGATGCATTATAGTATCTGTGATCTGTTTATAATTTCACTTAATTAAGCACATTTTTGTAGGTTCCAGTGAGCTGAACTTTGCCTCCATGTACTTCTACTATGGGCTAAAATATTTAGGGAATATATTTTGAATTATGTTTCCCTTTTTTGAAAACCAGGAATTCTGAACTTTAGCCAAGTTTGGGGGTTGCTTGTGTTTTCCTCACTGCCTCTTCTCTTTGTATAAGGTACAGTTTCCTTCTTAATTTTTCATATAAAATCCTAACATACCAAAGATCTATCAATTACTCTTGCTGCACCAAAACTATACCCATCCTCAAAAATACATAGGAAGGGAAAAGAAAACTTATCAAAGTTAATGACTATTGTCATGCTATTTAAATATGTCTAAATTAACATAATGAAATGAATTTCCCCATATCGTACTTACCTCCACCCCCCCAATCCCATGTGGGTTTCTTGAGTAGGATTCTGGGAGCAAATGAAGAAGGACATTGATGCCGTGATCCAGGCTCCCTCTGGGGTCTCCCCAGCACTTGGATCAGCACCTGGTATAAAGTAGGTTTCAGTCTGAGCCAGCTGAGTGAGTGAGTGACTCACAGGCATCTAATGCATAACATCAGTGAATTAACAGCATTCTTTGTAGGACTCAGAGAATAAGCTGAGTGCCCTGTGGCCTTCCCAGCCTCAAATACTATTTTGAAGTTGGGGTCATTTCTGGGAATGTTATTCAGTACTTGACAAAAGGCTAGTACAATTCCAGGGTTAAGTAACTTGCCCTAGGGAAATTTTATGATAAAATAATAAGAAAAATTGTTAAATGCCCAAAATGACATAGCATTGTCCTTTGGTGTTTAGATAATGTATGGCTGTAATTTTCTTACTTTATATGTTTTCTACATTTTCCACTGTGGGTATGCATTACTATATAATAAGAAAAAGCAAATGTTTAAAAGAGAAAATCTCTCTTCTCCAGATATGATTTGGTTAGAGGATGAGTCAGATACATGTAATAAGAGAATCTTAAATACATGTGTCCATAATTCACTCTTTAAATTCAGGAACAGGAAACTCAGGAATGTAATAGATTAAGAGAATCAAAGATACTTGTATTCAAGATTAGTAAGTAGGAGTGTCCTCAACAGAAATGGTGATAATCTATATTTCAGGGATTAGATGTGATAATGAAGGTACAAAGACAACATGAAGTAGAAAATGCCACATGGCAAGCACAGAGTATAGGGCAATTTACTATGATTATACCAATGTGTGGTCAATTCCCAAGCAAATGATTGTGTAATCCCTACTAGAGGGAGAAAGCTTCCAGCCTTGGCTGGAGAGGGGGGAGTATACAGTGTCTGTATTTTTAAAAATGTCTACAGGTGCTTCTCATGTGCAAACTGATATCCCTGCACAAGAACCATAAACCAACAGAAAACGCAAAAGACCGAGGGCAATAATTGGCAGATGACAGCCCAAGCTTTTCTGCCACAGATGAGTGGTTCCACTCGGGAAGACTGAGCAAGAGGCTCAGAGTCTTAGCTAAGGACAAGCAAGTCGGGACTTCTAATATGACCTAATGCCATCAACGGGGGAGGGCAGTTCAGCACAAGAAGGGAGCGCCAGGTGAGTTAACATGGAAGTTACATCCTGGATCCAAACCATGATGGATTTGGGTCCCGGAGGTTTAAAGCCCTGCTTCAGTGGGGCATGGACCAGATTCCACAAGAGGCTGAGATAGGAAGTATGAGGCAGAGAAAAATCCCCCCAGGAGACTCCCGAGTCTGGGTGTCAAGGAGACTCCCGAGTCTGGATGGACGAGCCTGGTCCCAGTGCCACCCGCACCACAGGGCTCCGAGGGGCTGTGGAGCTGCGTGCTCCCAGCCAGACTTCAGACCTGACTGCAGTGCTCTGGGCTGCGGCCTGGGGAGCGGCTTCAGCAGTAGACTGGCCCCGTCATTCTTGTAGGTGCTGCAGTGACCCCCACCCCTGTGGCCACGGTGTTCCCAAGACAAGCATCTAAGTGACTTCAACCTTATTTACAGGTGACCACAGCCGGTTAGCCTGTGCTGCTCAAAAGGAAGAACCCACATGGGGTTTGCTAATACCTGGCCTGCTTTGAATCGTTTCATCCTGACAGCTACCTGGGCAGTGGAAGTTTCATCTCCCAATTTTATTTCAATTTTTTTGTTGAAAGTATAGTTGGTTTACAATATTGTGTTAATTCTTGGTGTACAGCATAGTGATTCACATATACATACACATATATATATATATATTCCTTGTCATATACTTTTCCACTATAGGCTATTAAAATTTATTGAATGTAGTTCCCTGTGCTACACAGTAGGATCTTGTTGTTTGAAACAAAATTTACTAAACAAAGTAACAAAGTAAGCAGCCTAAATCTAGCCATATATATGACACAGTTGAGTTTATCTCAGGATTTAAATATGGTTTTGATCTCCAGGATCTCTTTATCAACTTATCATATGTAATGTGCCTATGGAACACTTCTCAGAAAAATGTTTTAAAATCATAAGATTTATAGAATAAGGAGGAAGATCATTATACTGAAAAGCAGATATCAAAATATAGAAATGGGCATTTGTGATATAGTAATATCTGAATTATTGGAAGAACATGTTGAATAAGAGGATACAGTGGTGGGTATACTAACCGCAACATTCTGCCATAACAGTGAGTGTAAATCATCTTCTGAGATCTGCAACAACTGCATTTTGAATGTAAACAAAGTTAAATAATAAGCCATGAAGTGTGGATTCAGATTCAGGGGTTTCTTGAGTCCATATCCCCACCACTTCCCAGAGCTCCCTGCTCTTCCCCTAATGTCACTGAAAGAAGTGGGGAAAGTTTGTGAAGCAAAGGGCATGTTCCATTGCAAAAAAATCTTGTAGCAAACCTGGGAGCATGGCCAGTGAAAGGTTAACGCTGAGATTAGAGGCCGTGGGAAACCAAGCAGGGGCAGCTCTTTACAAGTCACATCATATACTTATTGTGTGTCCACGTGTGTGTGCATACAGACGTGTGAGCATGTATAATGTATACACCTGCCTTTCATGTGAAGCCGCCTCACTGTCCAAATTTGAAATCCATCCAAACGTGCAGTGCAGTCAGCCGAAGCTCAGCCAGACGCTAAGTTGTCTGTTGTTGCTCTGTCTCTTCTGCTGAATTCCATGAGTAAACCACACGCCAGCTGTTGCTTTCAGGGACAATAGCTCTGTAGGCTACAGGTCCATGCCTTGTTTCACTGCCAACTCTGAGTTCCTTTCAGGACAAATTGCCATTTGAAAAAGGGGGAAGCATTGAGTTGCCCACAAGACTCTGAGTGAGGAAAAAACATAACCTTAGGGATAGCTCTGTGGGACAGCATCCAGAAGGGGGCAGAGCACAGGGCTATGAGTCGAGGCTGT